AAGGTCTCCCCTCAGCCTCCTCTTCTCCAGACTGAACAACCCCAGCTCCCTCAGCCGCTCCTCATAAGACTTGTGCTCCAGACCCTTCACCAACTTCGTTGCCCTCCTCTGGACACGCTCCAGCACCTCGATGTCCTTCTTGTAGTGAGGGGCCCAAAATTTGGATGAGGTTGCTGCAACAGGCATGTTCATGGTGAAGAGTGGCGGGCAATCTCTTGGGATGTGGCTCTGCAGAGCCCCATGGTAGGTGCATGTGGTGCACTCGAGGGAATTATCTCACAGGAACGTGTGGGTGTGTGAACTGGAGCCAACGCTGATTACAGCCAGTTGTTTGTGGCGTACTATGCCTTTCTGCAAGCACAGCCTGCCGGGGCCTTTGTGTCAGCGCTAGGTAGCTATTCATCACTAAAGGTATTGAATAATGAGAATAAAAATGGCCTGAGAGCTACTTATCTGCCAGTCTTTCAGGAGGAGAGAGGTACACATGCAGATGCAATGGTACTTGAACCCATCTAAATAAAAGAGAGTTAGTTGGCACTGTACATCCATGACTGACTTTCTGTAATTTACTCCCTACTGGCCAAATCCAATCAATTTGCCCAATGTGCTATGAAAAGCCAGAGAACAGAGCAGAAGACAGGATTTAATATGCTCTTGGCAGCCTGTGTTGCTAAGGAGTCATGCTGCTGCCTTCTCCATTAGCTGGAGTTTTTCTAAGAGGTGGTGGCTAGGGTTAGATTAAAACAAAAATTTAGCAAAAATAACAGTCCTTTGTTTGGGGGAGTGATAAAAAACACACACACAAAGGAGAACAGAGAGGATGGCAGGTGGGAAAACCTGAATAACACCCTGCCCCAGCTCCTCCCAGGCCCATCGTGGGAGCCATCAGCGCATCAAAGGCCCATCACCACAAACCCAGAGGAGCACAGGGGCACAATGGCAGGCGGGAACCCAAGTTAAGGACTCATAGGGACACGCTGGCTGGAGCTGTCCCAGGAGTGCCGCAGTCGCTGCCCGGGGGTGAAACCCATCACCATGAGGCAATGGGAGGGCTCTCACAACCACCCTTCAGACTACGGGAGGTTACTGCCTGGGGGTGCGGGACACATTGTGGGATGCAGGGGAAAAGCATTTTAGGATTGCACAAGATTTAGGGGATGTTTAGGAGGGGAACCAAAAGGGGTGAAAGGAATGGGTGTAGGGGATTAGGGGAGGAACAGATGTAGGAAAAGAGAGGGATAAAGGGATGAGAAGGGCTGGTCAAGTGTAAACAGGAACACTTGTCTGACCATGCCCTGTGCCCTGCCCCATCACCACAGTCTGTCCTATCTTACTAAATGTCATTTCTAATTCTTTTCCTGGGTGAGGAAGAGGCAAGACCATGGGAGGAGCTGAGGAGCTAGCTGAGTCCCAGACTGCGGGGTCTGCGGGTCATCTGAGACCCGTTTGTGTGTGTGCATGTGCGCACAGGTATCTCCAGGGGGGGAGGCAGCTGGACAGACCAAGGATCCAGGACCGGCTACTGCATGGACTACGTGTCCGAAGCCAGCTACTGCAGAGGCTACAATGTATATGTGTGTGTGTGCGCGTGTGTGTGTGTGTCTGAGCGAGGGGTCTGTATCAGCAACAGGAGTGGGGCTGCAGCCTCAGGGGCTCATATGTCCAGGTGCCAGCAGCTGTGGAGACTGGGACCCAGGGGCCAGGAACTGGGCAGACTGTGTCTGAGCCCAGCTGCTGAAGGGATACACACTGTATACGAGTCTCCCTTTCCCACCAATGGACCTTCATCCTGATCAGCCAGAGAGGAGAACAGGATGAGGCCATTGGTGCTCTCTGTGTTTGTGTGAGTGCTGTATATATGTTGTGTACATGAGTTTGTGTGTTGTACCTACTGGGAATACACGCTCAGCCTTGTTGTTGGTTGGACCTGGGGGCATGGAGCTGCAGCATCCTGACTTCTATCAGGCTACCAGATTCACCCCACCCCACAACCCCCCTCAAAAGCCACACAAAACACGTCTCAGAAAAAAGATAGCTGCACATCTTACAACAGCTGATGCATTACCCTGAGACTTGGGAGATTAAATACTTGTCAACACATTAGAGCGAAGTGATGCAGAGGCACCCGAGCTAGCTAGCACTGTCCATGCCAGAACATGCATAAGGCACAACAGCGCATCATATAGTAATGCTGTCTTAGGTGTGAAAATGTTATTATCCTGCACTACAAGAGTCCTAGTGGCTCTACTGCTTCCTAACACCGTCTTAGCTCAGACTCTCCTTCCTCTACTATCCGCATACCACGCTTACTGCAGAGTCCAAACAAGGGCCAAGTGTATGCGTGCATTTGGGGGAGGTAGACAGGACTTGTGCCTTCCATGGCTCAGGCAAGAGCTGTGACCATTTGACTGTGGAGTCAGTCTCCTCCAGCTCAGTCACTCACTTGTGGTGGTGTTCGCAATTACATTTGCATCGGCTAGAGAGGGAAAGGCAATTCAGTGTTGAAAAAGGGCTTGTTGGTGGCTGTTTTGCAAGAGCGACACTATTTACCTTTCTCCAGCCATATGTGTTACACAGCTGAAATCCAGCTGGGAAAGGGAAGCACCATTGTTTTCCACACAGTATCAGAGTTGTCTTGTATAGTGGAGAGAGCAGAAAGCATTTCTGCTGGACATTGCTATGTCAGTGCTAGCATTATCACAGTCCAGAAGCTGTCCTCTGGTGGAGCCAACCTAAGCAAGGGTGGATGTGCGCCCACCCAAAGGAGGCTGCTTACCTGCAAAGAAGATTGCACAACAGTTCTTCAAACTGTCAGACAACATAACTCTCATTTTGCAATACCAGTTCAGCTTCAACCAGCCTGGGGCTCAGTCACGGCCTGAAGCCTGTCCAAGCACCAGGCTGAGTTGGAAGCAGCAATGTTATCACTTAAGGTGAAAAAAAGGAGTTACCATCATAGGTCAATTATGACATCACCTGGCTGATCTAAAAGGTTACTCTGGCAAAAGAATGTATAGGGAGAAGCTAAAATTTATAAACCAGAGCAAACATGAACACAAGCTGCATTTTAAATTGGCTCATTAACACTCAGGCCAGGGCCCTGAGTGCACCAATAGGCCATAACTGCCCTGACCAGCCTCACCTGGGATCTTCACGCCACTCCCCCTGCCCACGGGCTGTGAGTTATACTTCAGCCCTGGCCTGGGCACCTAGTCCTTGTCTGAGAGAGGCTACAGGTGTATCTATTGCTAGCCCTGACTCCTGGGTGGACTTTCTTGGACATCTATTACAGTCCTGTCTCCAGTCCTGCCTGCTGCTGCTCCTGACTGGACTCCTGGAACAGAGTCTCAGGATGGACTCCAGATCTGGTTCTGCACCTTGTCTTGTGTGTGCCTGTCAGCGGACCCTGTTACCACCATCCTGCTCAGCCCATTCACTTCTAATTCTGTGGGACTGGAGGACTGTTGAAGGCAATGCCTCTGCTGTGGTCATCCTTGGCTCCCAGCTCATTGTCCCTCATGGAGCGGACCAACTCTTGCTGTTCCCTGGCAGTCTGCACTGCATGGACAATACCTATGAAAAATCTCTGATGTTACCATGACCTTAACGTGCCCGTGTCACAGGTGAATCCATGCTACCTGTTACCACTATGCCCTGATGCAACCAAGAAATGGAATTTCTGCCAGGACTGGTGAGAGCACAAACCAGGTGATGTATTGTGATGCCAGCAGTGATGGAGCTGAATTCTGCCAAACCACCCTGCCTGTTAGGACAAAACTTGCTGCCTCACGTACACACACTCACGTACCACTTCTCTTTATATCATCGGTTCTTAAAGAAACTCAAGCAGGGAAACATATTATCAGGACCATGCCTGATGATGCTGCAGATCATGGGTTTCTAGTGCTGGGAGAACTCCAGTAGGCTCCGCAGACGGGACTAGCACACTCGTGTCCTCTCTCTTCTTAGACATACTCCTCTGTGTAAGAAATGGATTGACCTAAGTGAAACAAGGTATGCATGGGAAGTAGAAGTCTACTACATCTATTTTTTTAAAAATCCAGTGGCAGGGTATTTCTATTCTTCTTGGCATTCTGCCACGTACTGAGCAGTCATGAACAAATCATTTGATTTTTGTATCTATTTAGGTTACTAGAAATTAGCTGTTTAATAAAGGTTTATGAAATGTAATTAATGAATAGCCTTGAATTTTTTTTCCCCTCAACGAGTCAATCGATATTATGTTACTTCTTATTCTCCAGCTTTTGTGTTAAAGTCAGCCTGGTCAGCTGCTGGAGAATTTCTGCTTCAGAGCATCTCTTAAGTCCTGCCCTCTTCTTGACTCCTGACAAAAACTTATGTGAGCCAAGAGGTGCAAAGAGAGAAGTCACCATCTAGCACTGAGAACAGACCAAAGGTTTCTACTGTTATTTGCAAAGTATGTCACTATACTCATGTAAAAAATACATCAATAAAAAAATGCTATCTTAACAGTGGCAAAAATATACAAGATCACTTATAAACAAGAACACAGTGAAGTATAGAATAGCATGTGCAAACTAGTGTTTATAGATTTACAGGTCTTTTTTCCTTAAATTAGTAGTAAGAGAGGAGTCAAAAGCTGTGAGAAAGCCTTACTAAGTTCCCCTTTGCATTTGAGATTGCATGTTCTTAAAAATGTGTGTTTTGCAGAAAGAGGTTCTGCTCTTTAGTAGTATAATAAAGACTATCAGGAAGGATTATGTTTGTTTCTTTTCATAATCATCAGGGTTTTTTTTAACATATAAGCCTTTTGATCTCTATTCCCTTTAACTTGTGAATTTATTTTTGTTTTGTGGACAGGCAAAATGAATAGCAAGTTTGATTTTAAGAGCATCAGTTCAAGTCAGGCATCCATTATGGGTGACCTTCAGAGACTTCTTAGCCAAGGAGAATATGCTCCTTTTACCTCTGCCCCCATCTTCGAGAGCAAGTTTGTCCAGGTAAAAAGTCATTCAAATGAAATCATTTGGCATGTTCAAGATAAAACTGCTTGAAATGATTACCTTTTTTCTTTCCTCCCTCAGCTCAACAGGTATTCCTCATTCATTTATTCTCACTGTTCTTAATCTCTGTTTACTAGACAGATATGGATATGTTTCTCTTATACTATAGACTCATTCTGCTCACACTTCAAAGGCAATAGTCCAGAAACACAGCAACAGCAATGCTGTAAATTAGAGGAGGACAGAGAATTATGTTTTCACCCTTCCTTGTCAGCCCCTACTCCTTCCCATAGCAACAGCTAGGACTGTTCTAGCAAATTTCTGGTTCTGTGCTAGCTTATTAAGGTTTTTAGGCATCAACGTCAGTTCAACCTAGCCTAAATGGCAGCCAGCTTTTCCCAGGCAATCTCCCCCCACTTGCAACTTCTAGTATCCTTGCAGGCAATATCACTACCCTGCCTGTCACTCGCCCTAAGCACCGGCCAAAGAACCCTGCAAGACTCTGGCAACATTCTACACTCCTACAATACTGCATTCACAGTGTGTCTAAAATATCTGAATTCTATTTACATGATGTATCTCAACAGTCTCTTTCATAGGGTTTCATTACCTCACTTTGTGATAATTGCGACATCCTTTGGTCCTGCCTTGATTAATTCAATCTTGCATTGTTGATACACATGCAGAATGTTAATTAGCTACACTCTCTGTTTTCAAGGTACTTTATGATTTATCCCTGCTTTATTTATCAATCAGACCTCATTTACTATCAAGGAGGCAGTTGCCCTAAACAATCAACCCAAGAAAACAGCAACATCACTGACTCATTTACATTAAAATGAAAAAAAAAAAAAAAGCCTTTGATCTTTTTTACATACTGTCTCTCACACTTGGGAGGACATTCTACTAGATATCCACAAATTTAGTGCACTGTCCTCCCTCAAATTCCTTCTTAGGACACACTTTTTCTGTGATGGCTATCAAAACCAAACCCTGACAATGGTACATAACATGTGATTTGATCTTTCTTACCAACTTATTCTTATCTCCTTGTATTTTCTCATTTTTCTCTTTTTGTAATTTCACGTCTTATGCATAAATTACTGGGGATCTTTTTTCATTCTGTGTTTGTACAGCACTTAGCAGGATCCTGGTTCATAACCAGGTCTCATTAATATCACAGTAACACTGACAAAGACAGTGAAGCATCAGAACAGAGTGCCTCTCCCATCATGTTTACACCAAGAGAAATTCAAGATAATGGTACTCAAGAGGTTTCTGACCACAGCAATCAGATACTCAATGATTTGGACTACACAAGAGCCAGTGATTTCCAGTCCTCCTTTATCCTTATTCAACTTCTTTCCTTTCTTTTCATTCATAAACATTCCTGTCTCATTAATCCACATTCCCCTCTCTCCTCACCAACTCAGTACATAAGCTCTAGGGCCCCCAAGCCAAAACGCCATGAAACATATTGATAGTATATTCTCTGAGAGATCATATGGCAAAATGTCAGTGTTGGTGGGGCTTTTTTTTTTTTTGTTCAGGTTAATCGAAGAGGCGAACCAATTTCTGTCCATAACCAACCCAGCTGCGTGACCATTGGCATCTGTGCTGCCAATCCCAGTTCACCGATGCCCAATGCGATGCTGGTTGCACGCGAGGTGCCCGTCTCCCCACAGGAAAGTACGACAAACTTCTGGAAACTCTCAGAGCAGCCATCTCCCATGGAACAGCTAGCACTTACCAGGTGAGTTAGCACTGAGAAGGGTTAAATATTGCTCTAAAAAGTAAATAAGAAATATGAATGTATTTCCCATTTCCATACAGTGTTTTCCTTCTTTTAAGGGTCAGTTTTTTAACAGACCTCATATTTGCAGTGGCTCTTTATCCCAGCACTAGCACAATAAAGTTAGGAGAACCATTTAAGTTTAAGTACACATCTTTAGGTCCCACTCTGGTCATCATTTCAGGCCAACGCTACCCACATGTATAGATAGATGATGACTACGAATACCTAGTAAACCTTTTCCTAAATATATCAGAAGCTGAAAGTTGGTAGGAAGATTGGGGGTACAGGATTGTCAGGGAATAAGGCAGTGGAATAAAGGCATTGTAGAGAAGCCAACTTCCTCTGCCTCCATTCTGTGCACTGCTCCCCAGCATTTCTTCCACAATCAGCTAGAAGCACTCATAAGAAGAGTGTCCAGATCCACTCAGTAGCTTCTTCCTATTCCAGTGTCTCACTTTTAGTCTTTTTCTATCTGTAGGTCTGACAGACACAATATCTTCTTTGAGAGGAATCTCCGCTTATGCTGAATGATGAGTTTCCACCTTTTTTTATAGGTTCTTCCCCTTGAAGTTTGTGGAACTCTCTGTCCACAGCACAGATAAGCATCACCTCATGTTAAAATTAGTAAATGGCCGTTCCTATTATCTAGAGCTCTGTGCCCCACCAGACCAGCAACAACACCTATTCCACCTGTGGCTGCAGCTCATCTCTCTCCTGAAACCCCCAGAAAATACCAGCAATACCGAAGTCGATGTAAAACGCAAGGATTTTGGCATGTGTCACAAGAAAGCTCCCAGCCCAAACAAGCCATCAGAAAATGTGAGTCTCTAGCAAATAGATATCAAAAGTTCAAGCTGACCAATCAGAAGGTATCACTTGTGCCAATATTCTTTACTGTCTCTCAAGTCAAAGTTTTTGTGTGCTTTGAAGGAGCTACAGTTCTGTTTATCAAAATAACTGGCTTGTTGTAAACTCCCCACAGAATTTCAGGGCAATGGGAGTGAGGATGCTAGGCACACCATAGCCCTGATAAATTTTTGTGAATCAATAAATAGCATACTACTTGTTGTTCGGTATTTAGTTTTCCCTCATAGTTGAGGGTATGTTCTTAAATGGTTCTTTTCTACTGAATTCAACACCCACTAAAAAAAAGCGGACAAGGAAAGACATGGCACAGCTGAGACCCATGCAAGGGACTGATAACTAATAAGCAAAGAGGGCAAAGGCATTTGATCCATTCAAAGGACAGAAAAAGAAAGCTCTTGAGGGAAATGCTCCAGCAGGCAGCCAGACAGGCAGAAGGCAGCTGCTCGCTGTAGCTAAGAGAGAAACGAGGAGAACAGCGAGGATCAGCAAAAATGCATCAGAAGGTCCTAGAGAAAATATCACAAACAGAAATTTCACTAAAGCACAGAAGGGTCCTATTACCTCAGAGTCACACTTAGGAAGGAACTTGGATGGTTAACGGTTAAAGCTAAGTTCCAAGCAAACAACATTTTGTCAGCACAGGCGCTGATGGGTCTTTAGTTCTCACTCAAGCCAACCCAGCTCTCAGCCAAGCAGAGGCACATTTACAAGGAGAAGAAAAAAAACAACGCAATCACATGGCCAATGCTCAGTGCTGCATGTACATCATTTCTCTGCACTCAGGAGCTCCCATCTTCTCCCTGGCCATGCATAGCAGAGAGAAGGAACAGCTCTGTGTACATACAGCAGAAAAATTACAAGGGGACTAGAAAAAATATAATTTTGGAGAGAGGAGAGAACTGTGAGAGATTATTCTTTCAAGAAAAATCAGTGATGAGGTTAAGGGATGAGCAAAGAAAATCTAGGGGAAAAACTAGCATATTCATATTAGATTTGCAGAAAATATAGGACTCTGATTTGGCTGAAAAATCTGCACAGCCACATCTCACAACCATATTGGTTAAGTCAAGAATGCATAGGTTGTTAAGAGAAAGTAAGTATAGGATTTCTAAAATTCTTAATTGATACCTTCCTGCTTCAACTGTCCCTACATAGCCACCTTTCGTCTGGGTTTTCTGCTTTCTCTCTTACCTGATGTCAAAGATTAGATCCTTGTACAACCTTCTGGACGTAAGCTGGCCTGACATGAATGTCAGCTCCTGCATGTACAGCAGATGTTACTAGTGATCCAATACACTAAAATCATGCTCCAGACCTACAATCTCTATTTTTCTTTGCAGAATAGATATGTTCTTTTTCCAGTCACACATTCATCAGTGTTTCAATACCTTGAGGTGTTGGCTGTCACTCACTATTGACTTTTCTCTTCTACTGACAGGTTTTAAGTTTGGATTTTCCTTTGCAGTATTGCATCCTCCCTGCTCTCTTCATGTTTAGACAGAAAGCTGTGACAGCACATGAGAGGCTTACAGGTATCCCTGCCTCAGCTATTTGAAAGCAGGAGGCTTAGAAAGATTTTAGTAGGGACCAATCTCAAAATCTGGACAGGAGGGAGAGCAAAGATCTTATCTCAGCTTCCGAATATGAGCAAAAAGAGGAGAATAACCTGGAGGTAAAGGAGTCCTGGACAAGAATCAGAAGCAGAGAACTTGGAGGCAAAGCCATAAACACCGCTCAGAGGTTAAGCTTTGGGACCTGTTATCCCTTGACGGACTGCATAGTCACCTCTAGCCAAAGCTGTAGGCCAATAATCACCAACAAACTGATAATGTAGGAGGAACAGTAGTCCCTCTTCTAGGTAAATATATTGCATTTCCTATGGATGGTCTGTCTGACACCACTTTATAGCAGAATATTCAGTGTATAGGGGACTACTATATAGGAAGTTATCACAAAGTTCCAGTTGTGCTGATAGCTCTGTGCAGAGCTCTTTTTTATGTCAGTTGCTACTGTATCTGTTAATCTTTCCTTTTTCCTTCAAGAGGGATGACCCACAAGATGTGCCTAACCCCAAAACAGAGGAAGAAGAAGTTACTAAGCAGACCTCCCCCAACCAAGTTCCCCTCTCAGGTACAGTGGGTCCCACAGAAGAGAGTGGAAGGAAAGAGGAAACCTTCCACAGATCCCTGAAACCAACCAGGCAAGAAACCACCATGCAGCCAAAGAATATAGATCCTCTGGATACAAAGAAGAGCAAAAGCACAGAAAAGAAGAAAACTAGGTAGGTATGTTTGGAAAATTATTCTGATATCCTTAGTTTCTGCTGCTGACTTTGAAAAGTAAAATGTGTCATATTTTTGTCTTCAGAAAAATCTGTTATTGCAACACCTTTTTGGGGTTACTGTGATTTTCCTAATGCTTTAATGGATTAGGAAGCTGAAGAATACAGAGTGGGGTTCCAAGTATCCAGACTTTGGTTTCTCAGATGTTTAAGATTCCCCCGCCCACCCTCCCACTGGCTAGGTTCACAAGATCAGCAATCAAAGAAAAGTGCATGAATGTTCAGTGACATAAGTGCTAGTGGTCTCCTTGAATGCTGAAGGATCTGCATACAGGCAGCTTTGATTTAGATGCCTGGTGTATGACGGGAATTGCACAGCATGGGGCAGACTCAGTGTTTCCTTTCTGCTCAAAATCAGTAACATGTCCTGGCACCAGAAATCTGTCTTTTCTGTATCTCCTTCACTGCCATATCCATCTTGGCTTGTGCAGAAAAGGAGCAGATTTTTTGTCGGTGGTGTTGCACAAACTAGGCAAGCAAAAGTTAGATGGCAGAAGGAAATGAAAACTGTCACTCACATGAGCATCTGCATGAGAACAAAGAACAAGACTTCAACATAGTCACTTCTCAAGCTACACCTAGGCCCTAAGTGAGGTGTTCAGATGTGTGCTATGTTCAGATGTGTCATATTTAAGCACAGTCTATAACATCCAAATATCTCTATGTGTTAGTGAGCCTGCACTTCAAAACAAGGCTTACTACATCATTTAGCAATACATGTTTCTACTGCAGATAGAAAGAGATTAAAATAGCACCTATTTAATACTGATCCTGGTACATAACGATATTACTAGGCTAAGACTTTTTCCTGAGTTTGTTGGCAACGGCATAATGGTTTTTTCCTGAACTTTTTTTTTTTTTTAGGACAAATACAACAAAGCAAAAAAGTGGAAAAAAATTACAGACTTCAGGTATGACAGTTTTTCCGATATTTACTCACTTCCCCGTTGCTATTCCTGCTTCAATAAGAGATGAGAGAAGCGGAAACTTCATGAGCTGGGAATTCTTTAGAACAAATATTCCTATGTCCACATTGCCAATAGATCAGCACTTGTATGGCCATATAATTAGAAGGTACCCTGTGCTCATTCCTTGCTGTGAGCCCATCTCACCTTCCAGGCTTCAGTGTCAGGTTTCTTCTAGAAAGGCCTTGATGTTTGACTTGTTTGGCTGATGGCAGCCATTGCAACTTCACTGCAAAATCAGATAAAATACAGGGTGGTGGAAAGGGTGAGAAAGCTGCATGCCTAGGATGGTTCAAAGAGATAATGTTGGCCCATACCTCCTCTTCCAGTGTGCTGTAAGGCTTCCCAAATACCTATGTCTGAGCAGGAATTTAGCTCCAGATAGTGTGTCTGCAGCGTCCTCAAGCATGAGGTCTGGACTCATGTTTCAAGCAGAATGTGGACATGTTTTGGAGCACTCTCCACAATGTCATGTTGGGATTAGCATTAACATCCTTTCTGACATCCTGCATTTCTACATAAATCTCTACAGAATATCCAGCTGGAAAAAGTAGGCACCTAAAGACAGTCTTTATTAATGTTCACAGTTCCCCTTGTTTATATTTCCCCATTTCTTGTCAGTGATTAAACACTGTTATTTATGCCTGCCAAGGAATGACAAAAACTGGAGCCACTTAGCTTATTGATGCCCCTTACTTTATGTCTAAACTCGTGACCATTCTGCATGTGAGTGAATCAGTCTCTTGAACAGAAGGTTTTATGGTCTTCCTCCGCATACTTCTCCACTATGCTAAGTCACAAAAGTTTGAATGAGCTCTTGTTCAATATCAACCTCGTTTTTTGTGAACATGACGCTACTGTGTGCTCCTCTTTGTAGCTGGCTGGTGGGCTGCGTGCCGTTCATTGTCCTAATTGCCAGCTGGTGATCTTAAAGTGATCTACATGACCTGGAAGGAAAAGTATCTTGGTTTATGATGTGCTCTCATTTAACTGCTTTTCTCAATTTTTCTGTGTGCACACATCTCTCCGTCCACTAATACACATCTATCCGTCTGAAAATCTTGTTGCATCTCTCTCTACATACACTTTGGTACACGAATATTTTTTAATATCTCGTTGTTATGTTCTTTTTCCCTCTCTTCCTCTCTTAACAGCCATTCATTTAGAAATGAGGGTACTGACAGAGAGCAGTGAGCTATGAGGAGATACAAATTAGTACATGCTCAAGAACTTATTTCAGCACTCCACATTAAATGGAGACAAATAATGACATATTATTTAATTAGCAATAACAAATTTGTGCAAAGTAATAGATTAATTATACTCTCATTTCAAATTCATTTCCTGCATTTTAAAAAAGTCTGTGACATACACACAGTGCTAAAACACCTAAATTATATTTTACTGGGGCTTAGTACTACAATATGATATTTCTTGTGATTTTATTGTGAAAACTGTAATAATAGAAAAGTAGTGAAGCAATCAGAACAGAAATGCTTCATATTTTCCTATTACACACATACAACCATAATATCATTCAGAAAAATAACCTGTCTTGACAAATCCAGCATTTGGATTTGCTGCATTGAGGGAAGGGGACCTGCCTGTTTATTTCAGTCACTTCCTCTCTAGAGTTTTGTTCCCATTTTCTATTCTATATAAACAATTACTTTTAGGTATTGATTTTGTAGTAACATATTTGCAGCCTATTTTCTACAGGGAAGAAAAAATAGCTGGCTGTATTTCCCATTGTTTTCTTTCTGTTACCATCTTTGCTTCTTTCTTTGTGTCTAACTGTTCCTTTTTCCCAGTTGCTCACAGCTTTTCAGCTTTCCTTCTGATCACCTTTCCTGTTCCTTTTCCTACTGGCTTGAGATTATTCTTTCTCTCACTTTCCACTTCCTTTCAGCTCTACTCTGTGCCTCTTCCTCTTTTTAAGCGGTCCCTTCCTCCAGAGGTGTATTCCTCCTCCTGTGCAATTGTGTCTCCCCTCTTTTCCTTCATTTTCTGATCATGCTTCTCCCAGTCTGCATACTACCATCAATTCCCAAATTTGCCATATTGAGGCAAAGGCAGCATGTGTTCTTCCTGGGCTTACTTAGGCCTGCAGCCTCTGTTGTCTTCTCAACCTGCTGATCAACTTTCAGTAGAGAATGGAAATGACCTTCACATACTGTCAGGCAGCTGAGAAGTATGACAATATCGTGTCAACTGATACGAGCTATGCACGGGCTTTTCACACCTCTCAGGTGTTCTGCAAGGACAAGATGATTTCTGCTGCGTTGTGAATAGGTGAGACAGCTTGTAGGAGTGACTGAAGGAGAACAGCATGGGAGAGACTGGGAAAAGGCCAGTTTGGTATACAGAGCACAAATTTGAGTAAACTCCCCACGAGTAAACTCCCCACAAAGGCAAATCAATTCCCGCTGGTTGATCTTTCTTCCTTTGTGGTTCTTGGTGTATGTTTATCTTCTCTGTCCTTTTCTCTCTTTTGATTTCTTGTGCTTCTTTTCATTTTCTGCTTTCCTGCGCGGTTTTCCTCATGCTCATCATGTTTCTTTTCAGGAAATCAAAAAAGTGGCAGTAAGTCAAGTAGGTTGCTTCAAGTAATATCCCAGGTGATTAGTCCGTAAGAAGGAATAAAAGAAAATAAAGCAAAGCATCCTGAACATCAGATGCAGTTGGAACAAGGAAAAGATGTACACACAGAAGAAAAAATTCCCCTACAGACTTCAATTCCATTCATAACCTCTTACTATTGTACAATTAACTATTACCGAAATACAAACTCTGTATTAGTTCACAACTAGCAACAACAAATAAATTCTGATCTTTGGCAGCGGAATCTACATTTTTCAGTGACTGAGACCGTTTTTCAGGGAGAAGACTTGTAGTCTGCAGCAGAAGGCAAAGAAACAGACACTTCAATTAACTTTGTAATACCTGACTATGGCTTACACTTATATAGGGCCAGGAAAGCTTCTCACGCAAGCAACTTTCACAACGTTGCGTGGGGACAAGTGATAGAAAGCAATATCACGTAATGGGCACAAAATCATACTAATACAGGTTTTATATCTGCCAGTGAACTTCTAGATGAATGTGGGCAAATCACTTTTCCTTTTTGTTCCTCAGCTTCTTCATTTGTAGAATGAGGATAGCCAGACCTCTTTTGAAAATCGCCATGCAATGTACTAATGAGAACCTTATATAAGGACTGGGTATTGTTACTGTTATTATTATTTAGACACTATAAACCTCGCTACCCTATTGGAATACATAGCAGCATTTTTGCCAGAACATGCTTGCTGCACTACGAAGCGTTTCTCATTAAGCAAACTAAATATCTGCTGCTGCTCTTGCTACCTGCTGCCAGGACATTTCTGTGTAGTTTACAGCATGTGCACTATTTTACTGAAGTTTTGGAGCATAAGTTCTACACAAGCATAGCTAAGCATGGGAGATGGAAGACTCAGTATGCTTTCCTCCAAATGAGCACAGAAGACATGCAAAATTCACAACTTCCGAGGAGACAAATGCCAATCTAATGTTCCTTGAGAACATAAATTAACTGAATACTCTTTGAGGGCAGCCCATGTGTAATCAGATTCCAGCCTAGAATGCCATAAGAAACAAATGGCGGCAAATTCAAATTCTAGATATCACCCAAAACATGAACAAGAGTGAAATATCATTCAATATAACTGGAAATTCCAACGTTATTTTTCATGGTGAAAAAATATTTCTAGATTCTGTTTATCAAAAGAGCAAAGTAGCAATTACTGAAAAGGAAGAAACTTAGAGGTGGTCCCTGAGAAAATGGTTGTACAGCCTATTTTCTGCTCAAGGGACAGTAAGTACTTGAATGATACACAATTTATGAAGTGCTGTTGTCCACTATAAGAACAAACAATATACTGCAAAAAACATAAAATACTGCAAAAATAAGGATCAGTAACAGTATCTTCATTATCA